GCAGGGCTATCAAACTCCCGCCCCGTGGGCCAGATGTGTCATGCGCTGGCCACACTCACGCCCAGTTTAACAAAGGGGGGGAATTTCCTGATACATCACTTGATGCCACCGTAACAACATTTGACATCCCTGTCCTAAGGTATCCTCAAGGTGTATAAAATCAGTTAGGCTTTGTTATTTTTTTGTGACCTTGGAATTACCTGCAGATTCATATCTTCACAAATGTTAGAAGCTTTGCCAGCTAAATTTTCCTCTGTTGTTTGCCTATATTTTGAAAAGTAGATAAGGTAATAGAAGAAAATAATTTAGTTTTCATATGAATACCAATTTATCTATTTCTCTACATTTTGTAGTGCAGGTTGCCAACAATTTTTAAAAAGGCTTTCAGGGATGTACAAAATATACAGATATTTTTTAAAATGATGTGCACAAATAATTTTAGGAAACATTGTTGCAAGAAAATATCTAAGATAAAATTGCATCTTAAAATGCACGTGCTTGAAGAAGCATATTCTGAAATATATTTACTTTTTTTTTTTTTTTTTACAAAACACTTTTCAGTTGTATGAATTTGGGTTATTTGCAGAAATGACAAGCTGGGTGAAATTGAAATTGAGAAATTGCAGCATGGGGGATATTTTTTTATTTTTATTTTTTCTTCTTGTGCCCAACTGCTCAAAGAAAAAAATAAAACCAATGATGTAGGAAATACTTTCCAAAGGGGAAATTGCAATATTCCTTAAAACCTTTAGGTGGTATTTTATTTGCAATATGAATAAATTATTAAAGGTTAACAATTATATCTCCCTAAGTGTCAAACTAAATATTAGGGGGGAAATGTAAGATTTCCAAATCCAATCTTTGCATCAATTATATCAAATGTATCAGTTTTTAAAGAATAAACATATAGGATGACAATGCCACACTGTGCATTGTGCACACAGCGTGCATGCACATACGTGTTGATTTCAACTTGTGCGAGTGAAGCTGTGCACCCACACATGTGGGCTAGCCTGCTGTTCATGCGGCCTGATTCCCCTCTCCCACCCCTAGCCGGGCCGTGAAGCCGCAAAGGTTGGGGACCACTGGTCTAGAAAATTATTGCAGTAAGTAGGATTTCACAGTCATGAAAAATATTACTGTTTTGGGGAGTGGATTGAACCAAGAAATTGTTGTAATGACGAGGCAGTAGAGTTGTTTGATCATGAACAACTGAATCATGATGATCTTTATTGGAGTCTAGTCTTGCATTTATACACATTTTTAATTATCCTCCATCATTGGTTAACTTTGCTTACTGCTTAACTTTCGTTACTGTTTAGCATAGTAATCCATACAATTAATTATCTCTAGTTAAAGTCTAACATATGTTTATTTCCTCTCTCTTTAGATTAGTGACTTTGTTTACCTGAGTTGTATTTGCTTGGAAACATTCTTTATCTGAGGTTTGCCATCCGAGATTGGAACATTCCTGCAATTACAACTCTACAAGAAATATTGAGTAGATCTCAATGTTTAGTCTGTTTTCCCAGTCTTATGAAGGTAGCTGAAAGTCAAAACCAATCAGGTAAATGACCTGATCATTCCAAATGAGTTGTTACTGCTTCCCTATCTTACATACTATATTATCCAAATCCTATTTTTTTAAAAAAAAACAATGCCCCCAAAGTACTACCTTTACATGCATTGAACCATACATTATATTAGACAGGGTCACAGCTGACCAGGCAACCATAAATGTCTGCAATTTCATCCCTTTCCTGTCACTTCCTAAAGGCCTAGTTCTGAGGGCAGCAAGAAAAATTTCTAGTGCTGGTGAAGTAGCCTATTCACAAAAGATCTAAGTCTCTAAGAGAATGAGATCACTGTAATTTTTCATATTAGGTTAGGCCTTTGGGAATCGAGTTGATAAATAAATATGAGCTATGCTGGTATTTCCAGTAGAACATAAACTAAGATATGAGTGTATAGGTAATTTATGCTACAATTGCTACAATAGTTGCAGCAGCCTGTCCAGGTTATTACTTGCTGGCTTGGCAGTACAACTGAAGAAGCATCTCAAAAGAAAGTAACAACAAACAAATTTGGAATTGTTGCTGGGAAAAATTACATCAGCTCAGGGAAATGTTGGACAGGATTGAATCGGGTTGGGTTTTTTTTGTAATTAAGTGCCATGTCCTACTGGTTTAAATTAATAAGATAAAGGTTGGTGACATTTGTAAAGCACAAGGAAGATGAACTTCACAGAAATATGTAAGAACTGTTACTTTGGTAAACAGGTTGCAATATTTTTAAGCCCTAAAAACAAGATAACATCCAGAAGTGATTTAGGGAGATGCCTTCCTACTTCACTGGAGTATAATTGGTTGGGGGAGGAACAACAGCACAATCAGACTTGTGACAGTTTGTTATTACACCCAATCTAAATAAAGGTAGTTTTGCTTTTAACCTGTTGAGCTTATTTCCTGGTCTGCTCTACATTCTGGGGCTGACAAGAGCATCTTTGTCATTTGAAAATGGATGCCAGAAAACACAATTCCATTTAAAAAACAAACAAACCTGCAAATAGTCCCAACTGTAAGAGCAAACAGTATCTGGGGGGGAGGGGTTGTCTATCAAGTCACATATTTTTGTGAGCAAGAAATGTAAAATGTAAAAGAAACCGCAGACAGTACATTAGCCCATTAGGAGCAATGGATTTCTGAAAGCATTTTTAAATGATCTATGGATGGAACACAATTGATGCTGAAATTCCAACCTTATTGTGACATTGTCTTGGCAAAGAAACATTGCTGCCAAGGTTTCAAATGAGTTCAGGCAAGACCGCAAACTTTGCAGTTGTGCATATAATTGCTTGCGAACCTGGTTTGTTTGTTTTTAATTTTTGAAGAAACTTCAATTTCATAAGAGTTCAGAAAACAATTGTTCTTCAAAGAAACTATATTTTGGTTTTGTTCATTCCAAGTCCAATTCATGCATTATTATACTCCTGATAGCTACTGCAGGAAAACAGTCAAGTCTACATAATTTCTCTCCATTCTTATAAGTTCCATGATCTCTTACTGTTATTGTGAATTCAGCAGTAGTAACAAAACTCTCCCACTTTCTTCTCTCTCTTCTTACCCTCTCTTCTTCCAACCTTGAGAAAGCTTGGAAGTGGGGCAGTGGCCATGGTGAGAAAGGAGAAAAGACATTTTTTTCCTTCCTTTCAGCTACCACCAACAAAATTATAAAAATCTAAGTGCAAAGAGGAGCTGAGGAAAAAATTACTCAATTTAAGACAAATAAGTATTCCTGTCTCATTTTAGATGCAGGTGTAAGCATGAAGATTCCAGTTACCTGTTTAAATTACCATCCAATTGCATCTTAAACTTACTCAGCGCCACTAAGTTGTGTAACATTTATTCACTGGTATTTTCTTGTTAGGAGCATTCTGTGAAGAAATACTGTTCTTGTCTTGCAGTGTTGTTTGCCAAGACAAGTCAGGCAAATACTGTACCCTGCCTTATTTCTGGATAAACCAAATGCCCTTAGTGGCACCTGACTATTCCACACCTTATTCTAGCAGGAATCACTGTGTTTTCATTCTGAGTTGTTCCTTTGTTGGATGCGAGGTTACTTTTGGAAGATAAGAGATTGATTTTCAGCAAAAGTAATAAAGGGAACAAATTAATGAAGTGTGTAGCGCAGGGATGTCAAACTCGATTTCATTGAGGGCTGCCTCAGGGTTGTGTTTCACCTCAGGAGGGGGGACACGGGCACATTGCCAGGGTGGGCATAGCCAGCTCGACATCACTTGTGTTGGGGGCACCTGGCAGAGGGCTGCAGGAGGCCATCGTAGCCAAAAACAGAGGTTGGGAAGGCCACACATGGCCCTCCCAAGCTCCCTTTTCGCTGGCAGAGTCACTGTGGGCTGGCCTTTCGTTGTTTCCAGGGCAGCCCCGCAAGCTAGACCTACTATTCTGAGGACCGGATCCAGCCCGCGAGCCTTGAGTTTGACACCCCTGGTGTAGCGCTATAGTCGACAGGATATAAAAGTGATAAAATAATACAAATATTCTTTAGCATGTTAATTGTTCTGTAATTGTAATTGATTGTAATTGATTCATGGCACTGTGAGCTTTAGAGAAGGAAAATCCAGACTGAGAATTGAATTATTTGTCTGGGGTTCAAATGACCAAAGAAATAAATAAATCATTTTCTAATGTTCGCAACAGAAAGTGTCTGCAAGCTTTTAGCCATAGATGTGTTAATTTGTCCAATTTCAACATACCTTTTTAAAATCTCCATCTCAGCACAGTGAGCAATTTTGCAGATTTCAATTTTCAATATTGTGCATATGCAATTTCTATTTATTAAAGACTTCTCTTCGTAGCAGCTGTTAAACTGCATTCCACCTGGGCTTATTACATGTATTTGTTTGTTCCTTTGGGAGAACTATATGTGTTTAAGGTGTATAAATCTTGAAATTTACCTCTATGATTTTAAGCTACTTCTACTACTAGTCAGGACCAGAAGATTGCAGGGAACAAAATGTTTCTGTTCTGCATTCTGTATGTTATTTGCTGAGGCTCTGCACGAAAAGTGATTTCTTGCTTAGAGAAAATAAAATTCTTCTTAACAGTGTTTCTCAACCTTAAGATGTGAAGACTTCAATGCCCAGAATATCTCAGACACAAGGCTACCTGTTCTAGACTGCCAACCAGGTGTCTTCTGAATACATTGACCGATACCCTGTATACTTCCCAGATAGCATTTCTCAACATTTATGGAAAGAGGGAGTCCAATGTATCTTGAGCTTTTGGGATTAGAGAAGACTGTTCTGGGTGGTGTAAGATTATCCACAAGTCTTTCCCACTGCATACCATGTTCCTTGTATATAATTCCTTTTATTTTTTTAACAGTACTGAATTAACTTATGAATGCATTACCAAAAAAGTGTTCGTGTGACAGATGAAATTAAGCAATATATTCAAGGCGTGTCGTGACTGTTATTATATAATCAAGTTATTGCAAAGAAATTTGTGGTTTGGAGTACACTTTAATAAGCCTCAAGGAAAAGAAATAATACCGCTTGAATTTCAAGGACAGCAGAGTTTCCCAAGGAAAAGAACCGTGTCTGTAGGATTATGCAGAATGCAGAAGAGGAAGGGATGGTCAGCCAGAAATAATTCATGGTGTTCTAAGCTCCTATTGGAGACTGCGACACCTGTTGCAGCAGCTGCTTCAGTCCCTACTTCATTGATGTCTACATAAGCTTTGTGAACAACTGTGGACAAGAAGAGTTGGGGGGAAGGGGACATTCCCAAGAGGTCTGCTTTTGCTTCACTGAATACATCAATGAGGCCCAAGCCTTGCAACGTCAGGTTGAGATCATAGCCGGCTTCTAACCTGAAGCGAGGTATATATACTTCCACAGGATGCTCCCTCAGGTTTCCTGGAGAAAGCCAGCTTGCTAAATTCTTGCAGGTCAGGGCAGCCTCCACCTGTGTAGTTTAAACATAATTGGCAATAAATGATGGGGCAGCTGGGTGGCAGACCTTATCCTTTCATGCATATGGTGAAATGGGGTGTATTTTCATTTAAATTGAACTCATTGTGTAGGTGATCATACATCTCAATTTGTTCTGACCCTAATTTTATCTAGCTTGAATTAATTACCAAACACTGAGCAACAGTGAACAGGGATTTGATAGAATTTCTCATGAAACAAATGTTTCATTCTATATGGCTGAATCTTAATTCTCTCTCTTTTCTTTTCTATTAGCTCCCTCTAATGCCTGAAAGGTGCTGCTACAACCACGCTGTTAAACCATAAGCTGGAGAGTGCCTCAACCAATAAGCTGGTACAATATTTTCTTCAGCAGCATTGCCACCTGCACATAACTCATCTACCTTGAATCAGTGTCTTAAGTTTGGGCCCTGAATGTGCCACTACCTTGGCTTATGCTTATTGTAGCCATCATCTTCTTTTTCACTTCTCTAAATTTTCTGAGGGAATTAACTGTAGTTTCCCATTCACAAAACATGCTTAACCTGGTTACTAAATTAATCTATTTACAATATTTGTACAATATTTGGTACCATAAACTCAGAAATTAGACATGTATGTGTTATTCATTTATTGGCTCTGTAAAAACCTTGATTAGAATAATATTATCCAAGATTTATATGTAGTGAGAATACACCTAATAGGACTTTACTAACTTGGTTTAATACAGGGATCCCCAAACTTGGCAAGTTTAAGACTTGTGGACTTCAACTCCCAGAATTCCTCCTCCAGTCATGTTAGCTCAGGAATTCTGGGAGTTCAAGTCCACGAGTCTTAAACTTGCCAAGTTTGAAGACCCTTAGTTTAATACATAGTCTGCAGATGGCCATTATGCCTTGACAAGGAAACTATGACTGAAAGGAATGAAGCAAACCAGGATTTGAAAACATGAAGTTTGTTTCCAAATCTAATTCATTTTGATCCTTGTGCTTGTAGCCTCCTGTTTTAGACATAATGGAAAAATACGATTAATTGAAGCAGTCTTCAAATACTGCACAGTGAGGAAGGAGCATAATGTTTGTAGGCTAAATTTAAAATGTAGAAACTAGACGACTGTTTTATGTATGTATTATGAAGTTTGAGGTAGGTTGCAGAAACTGTGAAATAAATACATAATGTTTTATGTTTCAGTAGTGTGCTTTGGAGTTACCTGCTCCAGTTGGCTGATGTCATTTGGTAATATTATAATCATGGACAAAAGTTCATCAACGTATGGTAGGCAGAGGATCTGAGCACTTTTTCCATCTGTGTGTCCCAGTTTAAATCTCCCTTGCTGATACATCATATGGACAGGTTTAGTCTCATTCTGTTGCCAAAGATAGAGTAAATATATGTTTAAGATTTTTTTTTTAAAAGCCCCATCCTCTTGTGTTAAGGACCAACATAGCATAGGTTATGACTTTTGGAAGCTGAAAACAAAATACAGAATTAGAATTTGGTAACATGCAAATTTGGCAAGTGGTTATAGTTGAAAGAAGGGATAAGTCAATTACAGGGTAGAAAATTTTACGTGTGTGACGTATTCTCAATATAGGATAGTGGTTGCTAACCTTTTTCGGCTCCTGTGTCGATAATTACAAGCACGCCCGCTTGTGCTCACTCGCATGCCAGCACCCAGAAGGCAATGCGTGCTGGGGCCCCTCCAAGCCCCCTGCGCATGCACATGTGATTTCCCCCTTATGCACCGCATCTGTGCATGTGTGTGCGTCTCCCGCTCACCCCCTCCGCCCTCTGTGCATGCGTGCCAGATACCTGACAATCAGCTGTTGGGCGGCGGCACACACGTGCATATGCACTGGGGCTCTTCCAAGCGACCTCTCGCATGCCAGGGGAAATGGCTCTGTGTGCCACTTCTGGCACGTGTGGCATATAGGTTCGCCAACACGGATATAGGAGATTAAAATCCACACTCCATTTGCCCATTTTCTTTTCTCCTTTTATGCTCATGTTGATAATATTTTAGGGAGATTTGTTTTCCAGATTCATACACTGTATTGCAATCTTCAGATTACCCAAAATATGTTGTCCTACTGCGTGGGAGTCTGTTTTTTTAAGCAACAGAGGAAGATCCCTTGTAAAACCATAAGGACAAATCCTTTTAAAATGTAAGCCTGATTTATACATGGAGTAGAATAATAATAAAGGAAAATATACATGAAACTTAGGGTTGATATGAGTGGTCCTAGGTGCTTTCTGAGCTTGCTGGTTTCTTGCAGACATTTCATTACCTAGTTTGCAAGTTAACAAGTAGTAGTTTGCAAGAAAACAAGTAGTAGTTTGCAAAAAAACAAGTAGTAGTTTGCAAGAAAACAAGTAGTAGTTTGCAAGTTAACAAGTAGTAGTTTGCAAGTTAACAAGTAGTAGTTTGCAAGTTAACAAGTAGTAGTTTGCAAGAAAACAAGTAGTAGTTTGCAAGAAAAC